GGGGGGGACCCTGGCCAGTGGGCACAGGACTTCTGGGCTGACCCTGGGAGCCATCATCCCTAGCTATTCTCTCTTTCCTCTCTGCCCACAACGGGGTTTCGCCCCTCAGAATGTGGAGGGAAACAGAGTGGGGTTCAGGTCCCCGGCTGGGAAGATGGTTGCTTCTGGGCACTAGGAGTCCCAGTGAGAGGCAGGTGGGAGATGCCTGGGTGTCCCCTCCAGCCTCTGTAACACCCCTCTCTCCTGTGTTTTAGCCAGCCAGCTGGCGGTGACAGTGGGGCCTGGGGAGCGTCGCGTTGGCCCCGGGGAGTCCTTGGAACTGCTGTGCAACGTGTCAGGGGCCCTGCCCCCATCGGGCCGCCATGCCACCTACTCTGTGGGCTGGGAGATGGCACCTGCTGGGGCCCCTGGGCCTGGCCGCCTGGTGGCCCAGTTGGACACAGAGGGGGTGGGCAGCTTGGGCCCCGGCTACGAGGGCCGGCACATTGCCATGGAGAAGGTGGCGTCCAGGACCTACCGGCTGCGGCTGGAGGCTGCCAGGCCTGGCGATGCGGGCACCTACCGCTGCCTCGCCAAAGCATATGTCCGAGGCTCGGGGGCCCGGCTTCGGGAAGCAGCCAGCGCCCGCTCCCGGCCCCTCCCTGTGCACGTGAGGGAGGAAGGTAAGAGGGGTGGGGCCCTTCACAGGGCTTGGGCTTATAGAAACTTCTTTATTGCACCTTAGCCCCTTCCTTACCCCTCCTTAGCCTTGCTTTCTCCTGTCAGCCACGTCTATCCTGTAGTATCTCACTCTGCTTCCCAGACTTGGGAAAACGAACGCCCTGAGCTCCCTGGGGCACTGAATGGGCAGCCTTTCTAGCTCCATGACCCCTAACCCTTCACCTCTGACCCCATGGTCTCTGTCCTGCAGGTGTGGTGCTGGAAGCGGTGGCATGGCTCGCAAGCGGCACTGTGTACCGGGGGGAGACCGCGTCCCTGCTCTGCAACATCTCTGTGCGGGGTGGGCCCCCAGGGCTGCGGCTGGCGGCCAGCTGGTGGGTGGAGCGACCTGAGGAGGGGGAGCTGGGTACTGCCACCGCCCAGCTGGTGGGGGGCATGGGCCAGGACGGCGTGGCGGAGCTGGGGGTCCGGCCTGGAGGTGGCCCTGTCAGTGTGGAGCTGGTGGGGCCCCGATGCCATCGGCTACGACTGCACAGCCTCGGACCCCAGGATGAAGGCCTGTACCACTGCGCCCCCAGCGCCTGGGTGCAGCATGCCGACCTCAGCTGGTACCAGGCGGGCAGTGCCCGCTCGGGGTCTGTCACAGTCTACCCCTACACGCATGGTGAGTGCCTGGCTGGGGCTGCCCTTCCCCTCACTCTGCCTTCCTCCCGAGCCCATGCCCCCTCTTTCCCTCTCCATCTGGGGTGCCCCTGCTACCTTGCTCCTTATCCAGCCCTCAGCCCCGCCTGCAGCAGGCGTGGTGTGCTGGCTGGGCTGACTGTGCTGGCTGGGCTGACGGGCTGAGAGGAGGCGGGGCGGGCCAGGCCCAGTGGAGAAGAGGGTGGGTGGAGGTCTGGGGAATGCCGGGAGGCAAGGGGAGCAGTGGGACTCCAGCTCAACAGAACCATCCTCTGTCACCCAGCCCTAGACACCCTGCTTATGCCCTTGCTGGTGGGCACAGGGGTCGCCCTTGTCACCGGGGCCACTGTCCTTGGCACCATCACCTGCTGCTTCATGAAGAGGCTGCGAAAACGGTGATCCTTCCATCCCCAGGTGAGGGAGCCAGCCGGACCCCCCAGCCTGCCTTCCTCTGGCCAGCTCTCAACTCTCCTCCCTCCGTCTGCCCCACTGCCCTCCTGTTAGTCAGTTGGATGAGAGCCAGGAGGGGTCCTCTACTGGGCTCACTCTGCCCCCCTCGCCCGCCCCCCCCCAGTTCTTGCAGGTGTCCTGTCTTCCAGCCCAGCTCCCAGCACTTCTCTGGTTGCCTGGATACCCTCTCCCTCCGCCCCGGCCCTTCCTTTAATTTATTTGACCTGCTTTTGCCCAGAGTGGGGGACATGGATCCCACCCCCTACCCCCCACTCCTGCCCTCCCAACCTCCTTCCTCCTCATCTCACACCCACCCCCTAAAGAGGCCATCCCAGGTCCAAGTTCGTTTTTCTAAACTGTGAATAAACTGGTTTTGTACAATCCGGGCTGCCTGTGTCTTCCCTGACAGGAAGCAGCAAAGGGCCAGGCGGGGTGTGCCGGGGGCTGACAGCCTATTCTGGACGACCCAGGCCTCTCCCACCACAAACACCATCTGGCCTCCTTGGGCCCTGCCATCCACCCCAGGAGGGGGCACCTGGGTCCCATCTGCTGCACGAGCTGTCAGCATCCAGCCTATTCCTGATCAGACACCTACTGGGGAGGGGTGCACGGAAAGAGAGACTCCGAGTTCCAGCTGAGCTCGCCCCCTCCCTCCCTGCCATCTCCTAGGTTATGAGGCAGGGGCTTCCAGGGACAAACCGCAAACCGTGTTCAGAGTTTCTAGGCTCCTCGGGAGCTTGGTCTGAGGAGTCTGGGCCTGACTCCTCCCACCAGAGCCCGGGGCCTCAGCCTCTTTCCCTGTGACTTAATTATCCTGTCTGACAGGAGAAGAATGGAAGCCCTGCAACACAGCAGCCTGGGGCAGGTCTGTGTGTCCCGCCAGCCTGAGCTTCATCCCTCCAGCGCCCCAAGGGCTTCCTGGGTTTACCTTTGCTGAAGGATACTCAGGGTTCTGAAAGCTTACCTAACAAGAGACCCCCGTTCTACCTGTGTTTCCTTTTTAAACATTTATTGAGCAACACTCATTTGCTGCACGCTATTTCTACAGATCCCAGAGAGGCGATCTGACTAGCGCAGGGTCACAGAGCTAGTTAGTGATGGCGGAGGCCTGGAGCCGGGCTCCCGACTCCTGGTTCCATGCTCTGCACTGGAAGAGGTGCTCGGAGCCTGGCAGTGGTGAGAGGCGTGGTGGGCTCTCAGTGACTTCCAGGCGGCAAGCAGGTCCTGTTCTGGCCCGTTTCTCTGCCTGTCCAATTGCGTCTGCTCAACTCCAGTGTAAGGGCGCATGTGCGGAGGAGACTCAGTGACCCACCCTAGTCCTCCAGACTCCAGCCGTTTCGCCAAATTAAAGTTATAACGACTTCCACCACCCCACCCCTAACATTTGTTTTTGGGGAACTCCCGATGCCAAGGTTCAGGGACTTTATCCTTGACTTTTGTGGCGACCACGAGTCAAGTAGAGTTGGTCAGGCTAAGACTGGAGGAATGAGTCTGGGGTCTGGGTCACCTCTGTGTGGGGTGAACTCCCGTGACTCCCTGTCCTGCTTCCCGGAGGTGTGATGCCGTGCTGGGCCCTCCGATTCCCAGCCGGGAAAGAGCAGCCCGGGAGCTTTCCCTCCAGGGCTCAAACATGGATTTTTTATTAAAAGACAGGGGGTGGGTGGGTACGGGGCGGGG